ATTAGATCATTTTTAGAAAAAAATTTAAACCATTTATAAAAATCTTTCCATGCTTTTTTTATTCCTTATTAAATACTTCATTTTTAATTCTTTGCAGCGAAATGAGAGTGGTCTATCTCTTTGTTCTATCTTTTTTTGTAATATATTGATCTTATCTGACAAATTTACAAGCCATGACTACCGCACCGTCTTAATGGTATATTTTACTATGTGCGCTCTTGGGATGTATTCAGGAGCTTTATCTTCCTATATATCTTACGATCCTACAAACCCGAGAAACTTCTTATTCGCCACCTTTACTGCAACTGGCACTTTTATATTTTATTATGGTTGGTGTTTAATTAAGTACAAATTATATAGGTAGCCTCAATTCGCTTTGAAAGACGAAGAGGATCCTAATAATTAATTCGCAGTTAAGAAACAACCCTTTTTTTAATAACTTCCTCTTACTAACAACTACAAAGATGGGTTATAAGGTTTGTGCATTTAATCGATATGCAGATAAGGAAATATAAGAAGCTAGTTGATAGAAGTTGGAGGATGGATATAAGAAGCTAGTTGATAGAAGTTGGAGGATGGATGAAACATATATTATAAGTAAAAGGTAAATGGTTTTACCTTTATAGAGCAGTTGATAATATAGGTAATATAGATTTCTGCTTAAGGCAGAAGTATGGCAGCTGCTAAAGCATTCTTTTGGAAAGCTTTTAAAAAGATAAACTACTAACGCTAACGATATTCTGTCTACTTGTAAGCACTTTGCAACATTAATGGTAGCTTAATAAGTTAATTACTAAGAATTTTGAATCCAGATAAATCTACACTTACAAATGCAACAGAACCCTCAAATGCGTAAATGTATATATCATTTCTTATTTAAAGCTATCAAATACTCCTCTGTCGACTCTTTACGACTAGCTGCAGGTTTAAAGTGCTTCACTGCCTTAAAATTAAGCTTTATTTTAGTCAGCAGAACATTTTCAAGGCCACCCTGAAAAATTTTGGCAATAAAATGGCCCCCTGGTCTTAATACTTTTAAAGCAAACTCTAAAGCATGCTCACATAATTTCAGGGTTCTAATATGATCGGTTGCAGCATGTCCTATGGTATTAGCTGCCATATCACTCATCACAATGTCAGCTTTATTCCTATTGGTATTCATATGCTGACCCTGGTTCAATAATGTACTAGTAATCCCAAGTAAATTAGCTTGGTGCTCTAAAGGCACAGTAGAATTAGGAGAATCATTAAGTAGGTCTATAATCATTTTTTCCGTTTCGACTGCATAAAAATCTTGCTGCAAACATTTAACCCCTGCAATGGGGTCCATTTCTAGTGAGTCCACCGCTATTATTATGCTGTTATTTGCATTTAATTTGTTAGAGTTTACGATTCTTGCTGCCACTTGGCTCCATCCTCCTGGTGCCGCTCCTAAATCTACAACTTTTATCCCTGGCTTTAGTAATTTAAATTTTTTATTAATTTCAAGCAATTTATATGCTGCTCTTGAGCGATATCCTTCAATCTGTGCCTTAGCAACATATGGATCATTTAATTGACGCGAAAGCCATTGCCTTGACGAAACTTTACGCTTTTTAGTGCTTTTAACAGCAATAAATTTGCTTCTAAACCCTAGCGTTTTATCAACTCCCATACTTAATGTCACTATTTTTTGCAATATTATCTAATATGGAATTAATAAAGGCTACTTCGTGGTCATTTACCATATCACTACCAATATCAGTAAACTCATTAATTACTACTTTCTTAGGAACATGAGGGAAATATAATAATTCGCAAGTTGCTACCCGCAAAAGAGCTAGGAGCAAAATAGGCAAGTTAGTGATTTGCCATTCACTTGTTAAATATTTTATTATTATATTATCAATCTGAGCTAATTTAAGCACTACACACTTTACTAATGATTCAAAATAACTTATGCTAAATTTTACTTTTACTGCTTCATTTGAATTATGTGTAGCTCGCTCATCTTGATAAAATTTAATCAGTTGTTGCATCAGTAGATTAATATTTGGCGTCTGCTCTTCAAGCTTATATTGATAAATTAGTTGGATGGCCGCGATTCGCGCTATTGTTTTGGTACTAATCTTATTTTTAGAAGTCATCAAAATAGGAAATTTAATTAAAATAATAAGGGCAAATTAAAGCAAGCTAGCAAAACTTAAAATATTTTTATTATTTAAAGTATACTCACATGACCCCCAGAATTGATTTGAAAATAAATAGCGAAGGAGCGAAAGCAGTGCATATTGTTTCAGAAGCTGAGCCCAGGATACTTTTAAAAAAACAATTCTTCAAAACAAGAGAGTATATAAGATTTAATATCATACAACACTAGTTTAGTAAATAATATTTAAAAATTTATTCCTTATGTTGTCGCTTTTTGGGTATATTATTACTATTAGTATATTAGTATTTATTCATGAATTTGGTCATTATTATGTGGCCAAATTATTTGGGATGAAAATTGAAGTGTTTGCTATAGGCTTTGGGAAGGAGCTATTCTCTAGAATAGATAAACAAGGCGTGAAATGGAAAATTTGCAGCTTACCATTTGGTGGTTATGTAAAAATACAGGGTTTTGACGCTACCCCTAATCCAACGCAGCAGGAGGTTGAGAATAAAGCAGGAACTTTTCGTAGCAAGCCTCTTTATGCTCAATTTTTAACTGTTATTGCTGGTCCTACCGCTAATTATTCATTAGCTATCCTTATCTTCACTGCTCTTTATTGTTTTCAAGGTCAACTTACGTTGCCTCCCGTAATTGGCCAAATAATAGCTGGCTGACCCGCAGAAAAAGCTAATTTACAGACAAATGATCGGATTATCATGATTGATAATAAACAAATCAATAATTTCTCTACGTTACAACAAAATATCTTGAAAAATGATAAAAAAGCTCTAAACCTAACCATAGTAAGAAATAAGGAGATTATTAAGGTATCTGTTGTCCCGGAAAAAATTAAACAAAAAACCACAGGCAACAATACCATAGAAGTTCCTTATATAGGATTAATTGCTAAAAATGAGCCGGTTTTTAATAAATTTAATATATTTGAAGGTATATATCAAGCCTCCATCGATGTTATGAAGATTTCGCATCTGATTTTAAAAGCGCTAGGACAAATGATAACGGGCATAAGGCCATTGGAACTTGCTGGTCCTGTTACTATTGCTCAAGAAGCAGGTAAGTCTTTAAGTTATGGCATAGCAGGCTTTGGGTTATTTATGGCAATGATATCAATTAATTTAGGCCTACTTAATCTTTTGCCTATTCCAGTTTTCGATGGCGGCCACTTAGTGTTTATAATATACGAAGGAATATTTGGTAAAGAGCTGAATCATTATGTGAAAAATGTGATGTTAAAAATGGGAATGCTAATAATTATTTTTCTTATTGTAATTTCTATCTCAAATGATATAAAAAATTTAATATACTAAAATATATCCAAAAGAAGGGTCTTGTGAAAAACAACGTGAAGTCAACTATTAAACTAGCTATTTTTACCACAACTATTTTATATAACACCTCGTCCTTATCAGCTGAATATATAAAAAGAATAACTATACAAAATAATAATAGAGTTGAATACTCTACTATTGTAAATTATTTAAAACTTCATGTGGGGGAAGAATATACCTTAGCCAAAGAAGATGCAGCTCTTAAAAGTTTATACTCTACTTCTTTATTCGAAAACATTAATATAAAATTCTTAAAAGATGGGAATTTGGTAGTTAAAGTCACCGAAACCCCTTTTATTACTAAAGTAATACTGCAAGGTAATTCGAAAATTAAAAGTGCTCAATTAACTAAGGAATTATTTACTGTAGCGGGAGACGCGATTAGTCCTGGTAAAATTCAATTAGATGCTGAAAAAATCAAAGAAATTTATAAACGTTCCGGACGTCTTTCTACAATGGTAACGCCGAAAACAGAGAATCTTCCCAACAGTAGAGTAAAAGTTATATTTGATATTACTGAAGGCCCTAAAACTACTATTAGGCAAATTTATTTTAATGGTAATAATAATTATAGCGATGGTGAGCTTCAATCTATTATTATGACTAAAAGAACAAGGTGGTTTAGCTTCTTTGAAACAAACGATACTTATGATCCTGATCGATTAGAATATGATAAAGAGTTACTAAAAGAATTTTATCAATCTGTAGGTTTTGCCGATTTTCGGGTCATTTC